CGAAGGCATGCGTGTTGGTGGGAACTGAACTGGGCAGGTGGGAGGCATCAGACCTGCCTTCAGGACCGAGGGGCTCACTCCCCAGCTGCTGGCCGAGTTGGCACCTGATGGCGCCCAGCGGAGTCCGTCTGTGGGAATGACCCTAAGTTACAACCCCCCGTCCAGTGACTGGTCAGTAGGGAGTACGAAGACCCAGTCCCCTTCCCCTAGGTAGGACCCCTGTGCAGGGCTGCTCCAGCGCCAGTCCTTCTGGAGTTTACTCACCTTACTGCAGACCTGCCCACCTGTCCTTCCCTCCCTCCACCCACCCGTTCAAAGTGAGTTGGAGACGTCTCTTTTATAGTTCAAAGTAAGTTGGAGACATCCATACATAGCCCCTCTTGGCCTATATCCTTTGGCATGCATTGCATTAACTAAAATCCAAGATTTGTTTGTTTTATAGAACTGGCCTCCTTCGTTTCTTCCTTCCTTTCTTCCTTCCTCCCTCCTTCTCCCTCCCTCCCTCTGTCCCTTCTTTTCTTGAGTTCCTCAGGGAATTCTACCCTGGATGACCCAGGATAGTAGGGAAAAGTCCCCCTCATCTGATGGGGGCCTGATTATTAAGATACCCAAGAGGGACCTTTTGTTCTATGTGGAGATCAGAATCCCTGACTTCAGCTCTTACTACTGTGTGGTCTTTGGTGTTTGTATGTGTGTGTGTGGGGGGGGTGTCACAGCACCTCTCCAAGGATCAGTTTCTTCATCTATAAAATGGACTTATTGGGACGTCTGGGTGGCTCAGTCAGTTAAGCGTCTGCCTTTGGCTCAGGTTGTGATCCCAGGGTCCTGGGATTGAGTCCCGTCTCGGGCTCCCTGCTCAGCGGGGAGCCTGTTTCTCCCTCTCCAGCTCCCCTGTGCTCGTGTTCCCTCTCTTGCTCTCTCTCTCTGTCCTAAATAAACAAAATCTTAAAAGGAAAAGAAAAGAAAAAAAGAAACACACTTCCTGGGGCATCTGGTTGGCTCCACTCTTGATTTTGGCTCAGGTCACGACCTCAGGATCATGAGGTCGAGCCCCGTGTCAGGGCAGAGTTTGCCCTCTCTCTGCCTCTCTCTCAGAGATCCTCTCTCTGCCCTTTCCCCCACTCATGCACGCGTGCTCTCTCTCTCTCTCTGTTTCTCTGAAATTGATGGATTGATTGATTGATTATTTAAATTTTTAAAAAAAATAAAAGACTTCTTAGAGCCGTGCTGAGGAGTAACCGAAACTCTGCCCATGAAGCACGTGCCCTGCTGCTTTGCACTTAGTAAATGCATAGCTAATGACAGTTATGGCTATTTTGAAGAAGCTACTGCATGAATATCCTTCCAGAACAAAGTCCTTTCCTTAGGGCGGTGGGGTTCAGTCTCTGCTCTGGTTCACCCTGACGCATTTCGGCCTGATCCTCCCGAAAACTGGTGAATGGGGAGGTTGAATGTGAGGTCAAGGCCTGGAAATCCCCTTGTCTTACCTTTGTCCTCAGGTGGCAGGAAACTCCCTGCCCAGAGTCTTTGATCTGGCTAAGAAGCAGGGGCTCGGGGTCGGTGCTTCAGGCCCCCGCTGAGGGTGGCAGGTAGGGAGGGAGATCATCTCCCATGGAGGGAGGGCTCGCAGGGCGTGGGTCCACGGACCCCCGTGGTCTGTGCCCTATGGGCAGTGAAGACACCGATTTTGCAATACCGGGAGCTGGTGACACGTGGGAGGCCCTTAGACGTTTTCCCCAAGGTTCCAAGGAGCTACACGTTGGTTAACACAGGAGGCCTCCACCCCTCCCACCCCCACCCTGTGGGGAACTAGGAGAAGAGCTTGCCTTGTAGAGACTGAGTTTGCAGACTGGCTGCTCCCGGGCCAGAGTCACCCGTAGACAGGTTTTATTTGGTCATTTGTTTAGAGTTGAATACGTTGCCAGCATTTTTTTTCCGTCTTGAGAAATCAAATCTGGCAATCCTGGGCCTACCTTCCTCTGTGGCAGCCATGGCCCAAATCGGATCGGCCCATTCACTGGGACACACGGAGACCAGTTTTTTTTTTTACGGCTCTACAAGCATTCCCTGCCTGGGACAGCTGGACTCTGAGCTTGGATCCCTGGCAGAGCTTCTGAGGACACAGGTCCGCACTTATGGTTTAAGACAGAGTAAAGCAAGTATTGGGGGAGCGGCGGGATCTAGGCCTCCCCAGGACACTGACGATGTCTGAAGCCATTTCTAGAAGCCATGACTCCAGGAGGGGGCTCCTGGCGTGTGGTGGGTGGAGGCCAGAGATGCTGCTGATGTCATGCGGGCACCTCGGGCAGCTTCCACAATACAGACTGACCCAGCCTCAAGGGTCAGAAGAGACCTTGGATTAGGGGTGTCCGCACACTGCTCGGGAAGGGAGGGATTAACTCATATTGTTAGCTCGAGAAGGTCTCCCTGAACAGGTCTCAGTGGCAGCGGGCACTTGGTGACTAAGCCAGGGTTCAGCTGGCAGAGACTGGGGGGAAAGCACGTCAGGCCAAGGACAGCCCGAGCCAAGGTGAGGAGGCATCTTCAAAGGGGGAAGTGGGAGAGAGTGTGCACAATGAGATGACACAAATGGTTCAAGAGCATCAAGTTTGGGGTCCGATGGACATGAACGTGAATCCTGGCTCTACCCGGCAGGGGCCATGTGGCCTCAGGCCTGTCATTGGCCTGAACCTCCTTCTCATCACCTGAAAAATGGGGCTAAGAAATGAGGTTACGTGGGTACAGCCTCGTCTCCTCCCCGCTCCTCCGTTGGCACTCTGCCTCCCAGCCATCCTGAAATTCTGGCGGTTTGCGCCTTGCTTCTGGCTCCTTCTCTCCTCTCTGGGCTCTCCATGTGGGATGCCCTCTCCTCAGGATGCTCATATTCCAGGTGTATGGGTCACACCGTCAGGAGGTTTAAACCAGGCATTGATATGTTCAGACTGGTGTTTTGGAAAGGTCACTGGAGCTTGAGGGTTGTGTGTGCCCGTGTGTGTGTGTGTGTGTGTGTGTGTGTGTGTGTGTGTATGTGTGTGTGTGTGTGTGTGTAAACTTGAAGGCCAAGAGAATGGTGGGAAATTCCCAGGCTCAGACAAGAGGCATGGGAGCCTCTGCCTTTATCCCAGCTCCTTTCCCCATCTTCTCTGGCCTTTAGGCACCTAGGGGCAGGCCAGTGGGGACCCATCACATATGAAGGGTTGGCTTTCCTTTTTTCTTTCTTTCTTTTTTTTTTTTTTTTAATTTTATCTGTCTGAGAGAGAGAGAGTGCACACATGCACAAACAGGGGGAGGGTTAGAGGGAGAGAGGATGCAGACTCCGTGCTGAGCAGGGACCCCAACGCGAGGCTCGATCCCAGGACCCTGAGATCATGACCGGAGCCAAAGGCAGATGCTTAATTGACTGAGGCACCTAGACGCCCCAAAGCGTTGGATTTTCTGTGGGTTAACGTGCCTGCTCCCTTCTCAACCTCAGAGCTGAGGTGTAGAGGCCAGAACCGCATAGAGGTTACTGCAAGAGAGCTCAAGGGTAAGCTCCTTGGCTTTCATGAGCTTCTTCCTTATCTGGGTAGAACACAGTCTTTCTAGGGTGTGAGAGAAATACTCCCTACAAAGCTCTTAGGACAGGGCCTGGCTCAATGTCTTAACTGCTTTATAAACATCGAGTTCTTGCTAAATATCCTCTCTGTGCTCTCTGAATGCAGTACCCTCTGTACTATGAGGGGCTCTAGGAGTACAAAGTTTCCTAAGGACTGGCCTTGACTTTCAGGATTTGCCTGGTTAAGGATTTGTGAATTTTGCTGACTGGGGACATACAGTTCTAAGGGAGAAGTTCCATTTCTAGGCATTTATCTGAAACATATGTACAAAGATTCCGGTCCAAGTAGGTTCACAGTAGGGATTTCATAAAATGAAATACTGGAAATGGTCTTAACGTCCAACTGTATAGGACAGCAGTTAAACAGGTATCTGACAAACGGAATATTATGCAGTCTGAGAGGAACCAGAGGAATATTTGTTGTTATGGGAAAATATTATTAAGTGAAGAAATATAGAAAATGTTATTTTTAAAAAGATTTTACTTATTTATTTGACACAGAGGGAGAGATCACAAGTAGGCAGAGAGGCAGGCAGAGAGAGAGAGAGGTGGGAAGCAGGCTCCCTGCCGAGCAGAGCTCCCAACGCAGCGCTCGGTCCCAGGACCTGATCCCAGGACCTGAGCCGGAGGCAGAGGCTTAACCCATTGAGTCGCCCAGGTGCCCCACAAAACGTTATTTGTATATCAAAAATATGTATATATATATTTTTAAATATGGATGTTAATATACTCAAAAGTTAACAGTGGATATCTCGGAGTGATTTTTACAGTTTGTTGGGTGATTCCAGATTTCCCTTTCTAAATCATTTCTAAATGTTCTACAATGAATGTTCATTTCTTTTGTGAAAAAATATATTTTAGGTTTTGGATTATTTTGTTTTTAAAATATAACAATAACCAAATAATAGTAATAAAATAATAAAATAAATAATAAAACAATAATCAAAATAGTAGTAAAGGGGGCAGTTTTGGCAGCCGTCTCTGTCCCTCATCCGGGCCTTCTCCCTTGACTCGGTTCTTCCTCATTCCCAAAAAGCATGGGCTCGCGCTACTGTGCCTTCCAGCATCGATTAGTATTGATGAACCTCAGAGTAATCCCGCCATGCGAGATTGTCCGGGTGACTTGCGTGCACACCAGGTTTTGAGATGCGCTGAAACAAGTTCTTCTCCCTCGTTCATTTATGTATTCTCTGGTAATTCGCTTCGCCCATTCATTCACAGCTTGGGAACGTTTATTTACTTGACGCACGCATGCGCACTCCTGAAGGCTGGAGGAGGCCGCGGGACCGGGAAGCCCCGCCTCCCGGCTCCGACCATTGCTCCGTTCCGCCAGAGCGTCTCTGATTGGTGGCTACGGACCGGGCCCCGCTGCCTATCAAAGTTGGCGGGAAAGCGGAGGCGGGGCAGCATGGCGGCCGCCCCGGCTGGGGACTCGGCTACAGGCGGCGGCCCAGCGGCCGTGCGGCTGCCGCGGTCACCGCCGCTCAAAGTCCTGGCGGAGCAGCTGCGGCGCGACGCGGAGGGCGGCCCGGGTGCGTGGCGGCTGTCGCGGGTCGCGACCGGCCGCGGGCCCCTGGAGCTGGTGACCGTGTGGATGCAGGGCACGGTGGTGGCGGCGGGCGGCGGCGAGGCGCGGCTGCGGGACCCGAGCGGGGCCTTCTCAGTGCGCGGCCTGGACCGGGTGCCGCGCGGGCGGCCCTGCCTCGTCCCAGGTAACGGCCCGTAGCGGACGAGGAGCTGACCCTGGTTGTGGGCGGCCGGAGGGCGGGGCCTGGCAGGTCCCCGGCTGGTCACCCGCCGCGGTGCCCTTTCGTACAGTCCCCCGCCCGTGGCCAGGCTGACCTGCTGATTAGCCTCCCCTGCAGCCCGCTTAGACGCCGCAGGATCCAGACGCTCCCCTACATAGAATCTCCGGCGGAGGGACCCCCCCCACACACATCGGTATTTGTAACAAGCCCCTCCCCCACGGGTGACCTTTTTTCCCCTCCTCCATCAAGTCTTGGAAAACGCTGTTACGAGGAAGCCTCTGTTCATCCCTAACGTCTGGACTCGAGTGTGCCTTCCTCCTGGAAGTCCTCCCTGACTTCTAGGAATGGAAGCGGTCTGGCACCTCCCCTTCGTGGAACTGCCTTAGGCTGTATAGTTATCAAATGTTTGCCTCTTAAATCAGCGGGGTCCTCAGACTTACCCTGAGGGCTTGTGACAACCCGGAGGTCTGCGTGAGGCTGAGAATTTGCCTCTCTAAACCAGCTCCCTGGTGTCGCCAATGTGGATGGCCTTGGGGCCACACTTGGAGAACAGGAGGACCAGGACTCTTTCTGACCTCTCTGACTTCAGCATGAGGTTGAATTCCTGGCTCTGCTCTTTTCCCGCTGAGCCTCCTTGGAGCACTTTTCTTAACCTTTCTGCATCTGTCCTGCCTGGGTCAGAAAGGGGCCTGTTGTGTGGCTTCAGCTGAAAAAAAAAAATGGTCTTAACATAGCGCCCCACTCACAGTGAGGTTCAAGACATTGTGCTGTCCTTACTATGCACTTGTTCCCTTCTCGCCCCACGCCTCGCCCATCCTTCAGCCTCCTCTCTCCGCCCTCTCCGCTGTAGCATTATTGAAGCACACGGTCAGCAAACCACAGGCTGCTGCCTCTCCAAACGGCCATGAGCCTTTTTCTTTTCTTTTTTTTTCTTTTTTTCCATTTTCAGATGGTTCAAAAAACTAGAGGATGATTTCATGACATATGGAAAGTATAAGAAATTCAAGTATCTAGAAGGCCAGAGCCATATTTGGGGAAAATCGCGGCCCCAGCGGGGTGGGGGTAGTTGTGGATCTGTGAAGAGGAAGCAGCTGGAGGCGGACCTACTGGAAATGGTGTGGTCCAGGCCAGCGGATGAAGGCCTGGTATAAAGGAGGGGGCGTGGTGGGGCCCAGGAGAAGGGAGACAGTGTGGAGACAGTGCTGGGGGCAGAGAGGGTGAGGGTAGGATGAACCCTCCTAACCAGACTGTCTCATCGCCAGAGGAGCAAGTTCATGCCAGCTAGCTCATCCTTCCAGCCGTTGGTGCCCTCGTGTAGATAACCTGTTACGCTCCCCTGGCAGGGATCTCCTTGGACTTGTTCATCTTCCTTGGGTCTTCAGTCATTCTTTTTCTGAGGGTTCTGTCTTTACCAGCACTGGAGAGTCCTTTGGGAGGTATTGGCAAAGTATAGTTTCAGCACTCTCTCCTATCACCGAGGAGCCCCACGTTACTTGCTCAAGTAGAATCTAGAGGTGGGTTCAGAGGAACCAAATTACATCGTGCATCGTGCACGGGGTAGCCGTCCAAAGAGGCAGGTGTCAGCTTGCCAGCCTTCCTTCAGCCAGAGCCCGGCGGGGGGGGGGGGGGGGGGCCTGCGTGCGAACTCAGCCCTGCTGTTAGAAGCAGTGTGATTAAAGTAGCCTCGCAGGGGCATGCAGTGGGGGCTGGCAGGGTGCCTGCCCTTCCTGCTGTGTTTGGGGTTTTTTACACAATTGAGTTTTATGTGGTTAAGCCTGGCCAAGTTTTGCTTTCAAGGAGAGCCACTTCCCCAAGGGAATGGGAAGAGAGTCGTGGTTAATATGTCATGAGATCATCCCAACGGCAGCCCGTTCTCTTGTTGATTTGCCAGCATGTGCCCGGCTGGTGGCAGGGATTGGTCCCGGGCAGCTGGAACAGCAGGGTGGCCTGGCGGGGTGCTGTGGCCTGCCCAGCTCTTCTGGGCATTAAGGGAAAGTCAGATTTGCTTTGGGGCAAATCTGGGGATATCTTTGCAGAAAGAGGACTGCTCCCGTGCACAGAGATCAGCCACATACCCTGCGGCACTGGGCAAGAAACAGAGATAAGAGAAAAGCTTGGGGCTTTTGCCCCTGTCTTAGAACAGTCGAATTATAACTCCTAACTCCATTGTGAGTCTCTTCCCTTCTTTAGGCATGATTGTTTCGTGCATGATGGTAGGTTGCTGCAATTTTATTTTATGGTTTTTAAACCAGAAGCCAGAGTTAAACATTGATATCTACTCTCCGTAGTTTTTTGGTTTTTGGAGTGTGTGTGTGTGTGTGTGTGTGTGTGTGTGTGTAATTTGCTTCTCTGATAAAGTTAAGCTCTGAAGGATAGGGGTCTCTGTTTTGGTTTTGTATCCATGCGAACATCATCCCGGGCTTTTCTTCTTCTAGGGAAGTATGTGATGGTAATGGGAGTGGTGCAGGCGTGCAGCCCTGAGCCGTGCCTTCAGGCTGTGAAGATGACAGATCTCTCCGATAACCCCATCCACGAAAGCATGTGGGAGCTAGAAGTGGAGGATTTACACAGGCATCTTCCCTAGATGACACTGGAACCCTTGCTAATAACAACAGGAATTCTGAAACAATTTAGGTTCTTACACCATGTAGATTTCACAGGTAGCATTCCGCGTACATTTCTCATAAGTTTCTCCAAGATGCGGTACATTTCTCATAAGTTTCTCTACGAGTTTTGCTTTGGTTGACCAAGGAGTCCGGAGGTGGGATTTCTATGCACTAGGATGTTCCTCTTAACTTAGCCCTCAATGCCCCTTGCTTTGACGACTATAGATGAAAAGCAGATGTGTGCTCCGTTTTGTTTTTTTTTTTCCCTTTTGGTTTATGTGTGTTAATGCTCTTTAAAGCACGCAGAAATCTCATGTTGCATTTTCCAAGTCTTATAAATGATGGTACTTTTTCCGTTGCCGCTGGGACCCTGTTTTTACGATGTCGAAGTTGAATCTCGCTCATTGCCTGCGGTGATTAAACTGTGGTTGTGGGCTCGGAAACAGACTGCGTGAAATGGGAATGACATCATGCCCCGCCTCTTCTTCCATCAACAACTTCCATGTCCAGCTTGCAGGTCAAACAGCGTTTTCCTCTCAAAGTTAGCTCGCTCTCTGTACCGCCTGGGCCTCCAAGCCAGTAAGGTACATTTCCTGGTGATCCCGAGGGTTAACACCCACCGTTCTTCCTCTCTTGGAGCCGTTGAAACACACAGAAGATGTCTTGTTGAGACTAAAATCAAGATTGAGAATGACTTTTAGGCATTAACGAGACTTCTGCCTCATAGCTTCTGGTGAGACGCCACAAGGCAACAATGTCCTGGTGCAAAGGTTTTGGGGCTTTTTTTTCCCCTTCCAGTGTTACTGAAATACAGTCGACATATGGCACTGTGTAAGGGGTACTGCCTAAGGATTTTAGAGTTCTAGCATTTTCTGGACGGAATGACTTTTTGTTGCAATTATGTTCAACATGGGTTTCTGCTCTCTTACTGGTGCCTGTTTTTTCCCCAAGATTGTAAATATCAAGGAATTATATTCCTACCCTGCTGTACAGTTTTGTTGGGTTATTGATCTTCTACCACTAATAAATTATTTTACATGCTGTATTTTTCTTTAAGATTTTTTATTATTTAAGAGAGAGATAGAGCAAGGGGAAGGGTAGAGGGAGAAGCAGACTCCCCGCTGAGCAGGGAGCCTGATGTGGGACTCGATCCCAGGACCTTGGGATCGTGACCTGAGCTGAAAGCAGACGCTAAACCAACGGAGCCACCCAAGCGCCCCCTTTTTTAAAATAGACTATTTGGGGGGGCACCTGGCTGGCTCAGGATCATGAGTTCGAGCCCCACATTGGGTGTGGAGTCTACTTTAGAAAAAAATAGACTACTTTTTAGAGTAGCTTTAGATTTATAGAAAAAAGGAAAAAGTACAGAGTTTCCATGTACCCCATCCTGCAGGTTCCTCTCTTATTAATACCTGGCATTGGTGGGTTACATTTGCTATAATTCTGACACCACACTGATAAAGTATCAGTACCTAAAGTCCGCAGGTTTCATCAGGTTCTTGCTTTGTGATCCCCGGTTCTACAAGTTTCTCAAAGACAAAATATCCTGTATCTTCCATGACGGTGTCCTACAGAATCAGAGCACCGGCATGAAACTCCTGTGCCCCACCCACCAAACCCGTCCTCTCCCTTGACCCCTGGCCGCCTCTGATCTTTCTACTGTCTCCATAGCTTGCCTTTTCCAGAATGTCTCACAGTTGGAGTCCTACCGAATGTGTCTTTTCAGACTGGCCTCTTCTCCCTTAGCAGTATGCGTGCGTCTAAGCTTCCTCCGTGTGTCTCTGTAACTTGGTGCTCATTTCTTCTTATGGCTGAATAACGCTCCGTTGCATAAATATCCCTTAGTTTACTTTTCTATTGAAAGACCCCTGTCGGATTCCAGTTTTTGCCAGTTATTAATAGGGCTGACAGAAACGTTTGTGTGCAGGTTTCGTGTGGACTCAGGTTTCCATTTCTCTGTCGTAAATGCCTGGGAGCACCCCTGGGGGTCCCACGGAAGCCTGTGTTAGCTTTTGGGAGAAAATGCCGGGCTGTCCCAGGCCGCTCAGGCTGCTCTCACAGGACACCATAGACTAGGGGTGGGGGCTTGAAAACCACAGACATATATTTTTCACAGTTCTGGAAGCTTTGGCAAGTCCAAGATGCCAAGATTCAGGGTGCCTTTTACTGTTCGTAGATGGCTGTCCTCACATAATGGAAAGGGTAAGGAGCTCTCTGGGGCCTCTTTGCTGGGCACTGATCTCACCCGTGGGGGCTTCACCCTCATGACCTAGTCACCCCCCAAAGGCCCCACCTCCAAATACCATCACACTGAGGGTTAGGTGTCAGCATAGGCATGTGTAGAGGGGACACGTGCTCAGTCTTTAGCACTGTCCTCTGGAACGGCTGTACCCCTCCACTCTCCCATCAGCCACGTAGGAGAGTGGTCATTATCCTGTATCATCGCCAGCATCTGGTGTTGTCAGTGTTTTTGGTGTTCTGGATTTGCTAGGCTTTTTTTTTTCCCCCTGATACTAGTTCTATTTTATTTTATGTTTTTAAACTTCTAAAGGCAAGGCAAATCGGAAAGCACCCGCTGTCTTTTATTACTGATCTGAGTTCATGGACTGCTGGAAGCTTGGTTTCAAGCCAGCTCCCGTTCAAAGTTTGGGAATTTTTCAGGCCCTGTTACTGAGTTGCATCAGTTAACTTTGCAGGGGGCGGACCTGAACATGAGCCTACGCGTGCTGTGTGGCTGTGAGCAAGTTAACTAATGTCTCTGTGCTTTACTTAGCTCATCTCCTAAAAATACAGATTTTCCCTAGCCCCCGGCGCCGATATGAGGAATAAAGGAGGGTGCACAGAAATCACACGTCCATGTACCCAGCACACGGCAGGCATCGAGTGATTGTTTCTGGGAGGAGGAGAGAGTTCTTAGAGCCACTGACTGCCTTTAAAAAATTTTTTTCTAAAGAATAATTTTGGATCCACAAAAAAAATGGCTGAGAGAGTACATAGAGTTCCCATGCACTGCAGCCAGTCTCCTTTATTATTAACATCGTATGTTAACGTGGCATATTTGTGACGATTAATGAACCGCCACGGAGATGTTATTATTAACTGAAGTCTGCACTTTATTCAGACTTCATTTCTTTTTTTTTTTTTTTTCCCTAACGTCCTTTTTCTGTTCCAGGATCCCATCCAGGATACCCTGTTATATTTAGTCGTCGTGTCTCCTTAGGCCCCTCTCGGCCGTGCCCGTGGACCAGTTGCTTTGATTACATGGATATTTAAATTCTGACATAGTCCATGGGATCTCCGGTACAGGACCCTCAGCCTAAAACATGATTTCACAGTTGCTTCGGGGCTCCCAGTGGGAGTCCTCGAGCTGGGAGTGTGGTCGGCTCCTTGACTCCCGGCCCAGAAGTCTGCCCTCTTGAGCCTTGCCCTCCCCCTTCCCCAAAATCCGCTTTCCAGCTAGAAAACGGAGTGGGCTGCCCAGAACCTTCTCATCTCCCTGGCGTTTGTCTTCACCTAACTTTGGTAAATAGTGCCCTGTTGAGAAATGCTGATTTCGCTGATAGGGTTGCCTGGGCGGTGACCTCTGTCAGGAGTGTGGGAGGTGGGGACCAGAGGGTGCCTGCACTTTTTCCGACAGTCCCCGCAGACTGCCTGTGGCTCCCAGGGGCTCTTGCCACCCCAGTGCGGGGGCGCGAGCCCTTGTGTTTCCCCCAAATATTAATAGCTCTCACCGATTCATAGCATTTCCTCCGCGACATCGCTAAATGAAAACGCATCTCGGTTGGGGGTTTTAGTTTTCAGGAGCCAAATCACAGTCGGTTTATCAGCAAGCACCTCCCCCCCCACTTCCCCACCAGATGAGGACAGGCTGTGTGCGCTCCTGCCGCCACCCAGCTTCCCTTTTGAAATGGGCTCTTTTCTAAGAACTGAAAATAAGCACCCGAGGCTGTGACTTCACTTTTCTTGGAACTGCTTTACATTAGAAGAAGAAACACACACACACAGAGACACCTTCATTTAGCTGGTTTTGGATCAGAGTTCCCTTGTTGTTCCTGCTGCGTCTTCTTGTAAAGCTGAAGTTTTACCGCAAAATTCTGATGCATCAGGTGAGGCAGGAAGGAGAAGCAGGAAGCCCGTGAAACCGTCAAGGGTGCTGTGTCCTGGCTGGTTCCAGTACGATTTAATGCCGGAGGAGGGCACCAGCTGGGATGGACACACTGTGGGGTGACGTTCGGATCCCCAGGGTCACAGGCATGAGCGTGTGGCCCCGAGAGCTGTCAGGCCACCAAATGGGCTAGAGCTGGCGTCACTAACCCCCAGGCCACAGTCCAGATCACCAAACGGCTGCCCGTTGGCAATGATACGGAGAAAAAAACAGCACTTTTCAGCTACAGTGACCTACATTATAGTAGCCATGTTGGAGCCGGTGCAGGAGGAGGTCTCCAGGAGCCCCTGCCCACTTAGGATACGGGAGAGTGTGACTGAGCCACACCGGGGGTCCAGTCCTGGTCCTGCCCTTTCCTGTCTAACCTTGCACTTGGAGGTCAGTCTCTGAAGTGGAGCTAGTTCTTCCCTCACAGAATGCTCGTGGGAACTGGCGTAGATATTCTTCTCAGTGGGGATCTCTGTAGATAGGCACATACCTTGTTCTGAGATCGGCTGTTGGTATCTCTGTACCCATCAGTGGAAGCTTTCCCCTGGTGTGATCGTGGCTTATCTATCTCTGCCCCGTGCGGGGCCTTGCAAAACCGACGTGGGTTGTCAGTAAATTGGGGGGTGAATGGCCGCATTTTAGGTCAGAAGACAGAGGGGTTCCACAGGGAACAATGCTTTTGAGTTGACATTTGGCACACAGCAGTTTTCCAATGAAAGGAGCCCTTCCAGGCCAGGCCTAACGAAAAGCACCCTTTGACTTGAGCACCTGGCTAATGTATAATCAGCCTGAGGGTGCTTGCTAGAATGTTGGAGAGAGCAGGGCGTTCTGAAGTACAGAGACAGCTTGATTGAAAAAAGGCTGGAGGAAAAGGAAAGAGACAGCAGAGCACCACACCATACCCCACCCTCCCCGCCTGGCAAATGTTTGCACTTTGGGCAGAATCTGAAATTACAGTCCCACAGGAATCAGTAAACATGTCTTGATTAAAAAAAAAAAAAAAAATGCAAATTCAACCAGGAGTTGCATGCCAGGGACTCTGCTAGATTTCCCCTCTGTTACCTCATTTTATTGTGTCAGCGCTTCCCGGGCGTTCATTTCCTCCTCCCCAACCGACCCACCCTGGAAAAGGGATGCAATCCCTCGCCCGAGAGCATCTAGCCAGCAGCCTGTGGCAGAGACAGGTGACACAGGCCTGCTGATGTCCCGCGTTGTAGGGGAGGTGGCCGGTGCCTTCTTTCTGAGCCGGCTCTTCTCTGATGAAGTCCTCAGACCCATTCTGGAAGCTCCTGGTCTTTCCACTTAGGTGCTGGCTCCCCCTGCTGGCCGGCCCCAGACACCGCTGCCCTGTGCTGTGGGAAATGGGATGCCCGCCTGACAGGCGTGGAAAACCACAGAAGGAGGCAAAGGAACAAACTGGGGCCATGAGAAGCTCACAGCTGTCCACCCTGGGAGTTGTGACCGTCGTGGCCAAGCCATCTTGGGGGTGAGGGGTGGGGGACAGTGTTGGATGGGTTCCAGTGGCTCGGCTTTTAAACCCTTGCCCTATTGCCTATTAACTGGGTGACCTTGGATGAGTGGGTTTCACTCCTCTGAATCTTATTTCAGCCATCGGTACAGGGCGTGACTTGGGGTCTGAGAGGTGAAGTCACTCGTTCACGTGGGTGCTCAAAGAATGTTCACCTCATTGGTCTTTCTACCCCTAAGCACTTGCTGAGCACCTGCTGGGTTCCAGGCTCTGGGGACCCACACAGTGATCAAAAGACATGTGGTGGCTCCCTGTGGAGCCCGGTGTCCGCACATGCTTCAAATCACTGACTTCCCACTCTGCCTCCTCTCTCCGGCTTACAGCCCCACAAGCCTCTGTGGTCAAATCGGGCTTACCGGGATAG